CCTGGAACGGCGGGTCTCCACCTTGAGTACATGCTGGAGTCATCTGAGGAGGCCTGGGTCCTCCCACAGAGGGCCTGGCGTGCAGTGTGGACCCTGGAGTTTGTAAGAGCTCTCTTGGGTGCCCTGGTGTGCAGCTTGGGTTGAGATCCCCTGACCTGGAGGCAGACCCCATGGCTCCCTGCCTCCCTGCTCCTCGGCAGCCAGGCCTCACCAGCCACTGTGTCCCCTGGATGCTCTGGTTTCCCTGACAGTGATCTTCTGTCCTTGCACTTCAATCGAGTCCCCCTCCACGTGCCTTGCCCTGCGGTCGCCCAGAGCAAACAAGGAGGGCTGCACGAACTCACTCCCAGACTGGCACGGAGGAGGGGCGGGTTGCTGAGGGCAGAGTGTGGGCGGGGGACACGTGAGCTGGCATGGAAATGGAAGAACTGGACCAGAGCAGCTCGGCACAGGCTCCATCGTGCAGCTGCCTCGGGGTTCTTGGGTGCTGTGTTGGCTGTGGCTGCCCCAGCAGCATCTGCCCTGGGTGTCGGTGGGTGGCGAGCTATACCCACCGCTGAGGGGGGAAGCCCTGTCCTCCCCCCCGGCCCAACTCCTGGCTCCCCTGGTGTTTCTCATGCTGGGGGTACTTCAGGGCTGAATATAACTGAACCAGAAACAGTCCCTGTTTAGTGTACATTTCAACCATGCCTGGATCGCTCTCCCTGCACCCCCGTCAGCTTTGTCAAATGTTGCTTTCTCGCTGAGGCCTGTTCTGACCACCGTATTTAAAATGTCAGCTCATCCTTAGCCGTCCTAATCCCTCCACCAGCTCTGCGTTTCTTCCTTGCAGAACCTGTGGCCTTGTAGCAAGCCGTCACCTGCTGTGTTTGTCTGACCCTCTCTCCCACTAGAGCGTAGCCTGCCCAGGAGCAGGGATTTTTTGCCTCTCTTGATCACCCTGCCTGCCTAGCTCATGGTGAGGGCAGCACTCGTTTGACTTCCGGGCCGTGATCCCCTGCCTGGCGTTTGAATCCTGCCATCTGCCAGGTCCTCTGCCTGGCTGGAGCGTGCTCTGGTGTCAGGGCCAGGCCGACTATGGGCTGACTTCAGACCACAGGGAACTCCAGACACCCACCTGCGTCTCTTTCCCTTGCTACAAGTTCTGGGCGTGGCCCCCCCACCCTTTGCACCTGCGGCTTCCCACTAACCACCTGGACCCGGTGCAGTTAGTAAGTTTCTCTAACCAAAAAAAGAGAAAAACCAACATTTAAACAGCAATATACATTGTCTTTTCCTCCCTTGGAGGCAGGTCACGATCTGAGTCTCCTGTTTATAGGGAACTGAATGTACAGAATGCCTGAACACGATGCTTCGTTTCATTCCCTTCTCCCTTCCAGACCCTCCTCTGGGGTAGAAGGAGCCGTGTCTTAGGGATGTCCAAGGCACAAAGGTGAACAAATGCCCAGTGCCTTCCGTGGAATGTAAGGTGAGGCTTCCTGCTGGCCAGCCCAGGCAGACGGCCTGGCAGCTGCCCTTTTATTCATAACCGCCTGAGGGTGCTTGGCTCAGATTTCAAATGACAATGACATGGTGTCCGTTTTAGGGGCCACAGACACGGGAACTTTGGGGAGGATGTGGAATTGGAGCCGGTGTCTTTGGGCCCTGGAAAAGACCAAGCTAGAGCCGTGGGGGAGGAGTGAGCAGGCAGAGAGGGCAGGAGGGGAACTGACTTCCGGAGACACTGAGGTGGCTGGAGGCTGGGCGTGAACTTGGGGTGAGAAGTGTGAAGGATGAAAATGGGGCAGAAGGAGAGGCAGGAATGTCACATCACTGTGGGAAAAGAAGCAGGGAGGAGTAGGTGACACCAGAAGGATCAGGAGTGAGGAGGGTGGCCACGTGATGATAGCCAAAGATACCTTAAAATGCAAAGGCTCGTTAACAGACGGCCGTGCCGCTGGCACTGCTGTGGGCAGCAGCCTGAGGCTTGTGCGAACCTCCAGCCCAGCAGGGCCAAAGCTGTCATCTGAGCACCTGGCTTCCCTGGCCGGGTCCCTCCCCGCGGCCCCTCCGGGACAGATGGCCTTCTCATGTGCTTTTCCCCAGCTCACCTGGCTTTCTGCCTGCACCCAGGGTTCCCATCCATTCTCTGATCAAATCACAGCTGCCCTCACCAGGGGCCCTCCAGACCCCTTGGCTCTTGGGTTTAGGGCTGCCAGCTTTAGCAAATAAGAATACAGAATTCCCAGTTAAATTTGGACGTCAGATAAACAACAGTTCATTTTTTAGTCTGAGTGTGTCGTATGCCATGTTCAGGGTCTACTAGAAAATTGCTCATTGTTGATGGGAAGTTGGGATGTAAGGGACATCCTGAGTTTGATCTGGCAACTCTCCTGATCTCCTCCCAGTTTCAGCTTGGAGTTTCCTCTTGCTTGGGGAGTAGCCCCTGTGCACCTGCAAGAAAGCAGAAAGAAGTGGTTCTGCAGTGGACTTCAAAATGTACCTGCCGTGGGCGATGAAGGTGTTCATCCCTGGCCTCCCCATCTGGCCTCGGCAGACCACTCCCCTCCTGTTTTCTGCTTGTCCCTTAATGAGAAACCCTCTCTTTTGACCTGGCTGACTTCCTCATCCCTTGCCCCATACTCTTGGACCATGTGGGGTTCACATGGACCAGCCCCAACGAAAAGGGCCTCTTCCTCCTCCTCCTCTGCCTGTTGGTATCCTCCTACCTCTCTTTCTGGGAGCAGCTCCCCGAGTTTGGGGACTGAACACCAGCCTTTGCATTCCCCACAGAGTTGAGGATGGGGCCTGTCATTCCCAGAGGTGTTAGAAAATATTCAGAATGAGGTGAATAAGCCCAGCTTCCTGCCAGGTTTCTTGAAGAGCTGTGAGCTCTGTCTGTCCTTCCAGTGGCTGGGGACTCCTTCCAGCTTCCCTGGATGGACTGTGAGGGAGAAATCTTGAAGCATTCACGTTATTCCTTCCAAGAGAAGGGGATGCCTCAGCCCCCTTCCCAGCCCCGTGACAGGCCTGGGGTCTGCAGGAGGTGGGCACTGGCCCTCCTGGCAGCAGCTGCGGCTGATCGGCTCCCTCTGGATGGGAAGGGCAGGAGGTGGTGGCCCCGTGTTTGGCCTATCAGATAGTTTATCATCATGAATCCATTTCAGCTGAATTGTCTTTACAGGGCAGATAAATTCCCTCATTTAACTTAGTGGCCTATGAGTTCAGGAGCATTCTCAGGGATTACACATGGGGAGGAGCCTTTGCACGGGGCCCAGGGCAGCCAGAGGCAGAGGTAGAAGTATGGCCTCCTGGGCGAGTGCTGTGGCTGCCACTTCAGGATGCCTAGTTCTGAATCCTCAGCAAGGGAGGCAGGCAGGTCCTGTTGGTACCTAAACTACCAAGCCGGTGAGGTCTGACCTCAGCTCCCCCATCCCTGTATTCCCCAGGCCTCTCAGCAGTGTCCTTCTTGTGCTCCTGAGAGGACAGCATCCAGTGCCCTGTGGTGCCACCCAGCTCTGAGATTCCCTGACCCCTCCCACCTCCAGCCCTGCTCAGGAAGGCTTCCGTCCTCAGCGGCCTCGCCTCTGCTGTGATGTCCAGGATCATATAGTCACGGGTTGCCCAGAAAGTCCATGGGACTCTAGTCTCGTCAGATTCTTGCTCTGTGACAAAGGGCGCCACACAATCCAGCAAGTGTGGGAAGCCCTGATTCAGCAATCCCTTTGGGACCATGGTGATGCATAAGCGCATACTGAAGGCCCTAAAACGCCCCACAGAGAAAAATTCCCATTAAACTTCGTTGGACCCAAATTTTCCAAAACGTACCCAACCATGGAAACTTCTGTATCAAATAACAACTATGAACATTCTGTGGAACTAGTGTTCCACTCAGCCTACTTTGAAAAACAGGGATCTGGTTCAAATCTTTATTTTTATGGCCGTAAAATGGAAAATCCATTCAGTGATTCATCGAGCATTTGTTTATTTTTATTTTTTTTTTTTGAGACAGAGTCTCACTCTGTCACCCAGGCTGAAGTGTAGTGGTGTGTTCTCGGCTCACTGCAACCTCCGCCTCCCGGGGTCAAGTGATTCTCCTTCCTCAGCCTCCTGAGTAGCTGGGACTACAGGTGTACACCACCATGCACAGCTAACTTTTGTATTTTTAGTAGAGACAGGGTTTCACCATGTTGGCCGAGATGGTCTTGATCTCTTGACCTTGTGATCCGCCCGCCTCGGCCTCCCAAAGTGTTGGGATTACAGGCGTGAGCCACTGCGCCTGGCCTCATCAAGCATTTATTAAAGGCAAATTGAGATGTTCCCAAATGCCAGAGCCCATGTCACCGCGTTCTGAAATGTACAAAAATGCAGTAATAACACATTATCGTTCCTAAGCTGCACGTGCCATGTAGGCCGACCATCCACTAGTCCACCAGATGTCAATCTCATACCGTTTTTAACCTTGAGAAGACTGAAGCACAGAGATGCATGCGTTGCAGGTTTGCATATAAGCCCAGCTCTGAGCGCTGGCTCATGCCTGTAATCCCAGCACTTTGGGAGGCTAAGGTGGGCAGATCACGAGGTCAGAAGTTCAAGACCAGCCTGGCCAACATGATGAAACCCCATCTCTACAAAAATGCAAAAATGAGCTAGGCATGGTGACGCGCACCTGTAGTCCCAGCTACTCAGAAGGCTGAGGCAGGAGAATTGCTTGAACCCAGGAGACAGCGGTTGCAGTGAGCTGAGATCACACCACTGCACCCCACCCTGGGCAACAGAGTGAGTCTCCATCTCAAAAAAAAAAAAAAAAATGGTCAACTCTATTTCTTAATGAAACGTTTTCACCCTTGATGGTTCTCCCCAGCCTCTTGAATAAGGTTGTGTTTGGCCATGAAGCCTAGAGCCGGGAAGAGAGCCTGGAGGAGGGACGCTGGTGGGTTTGGGAGCAGGGCTGTGGCAGGGCCCACCCGCCTGTCCCCTCACATTCTCAGCCTCTCCTCTCCCCACTTTTGTCCCCGCAGGTCTAACTGGCTGAAGCCGTGCTGTGGGAAGAGAGCAGCCGTGTGGCAGGTATTTTTGCTCAGTGCAAGTCTCAACAGTTTCCTGGTAGCCTGTGTAATATTGGTGGTGATTCTCCTGACTCTGGAACTTCTAATAGATATAAAGCTTCTCCAGTGTGAGTAGCAAGAGAGATACATATGCCGATACATATGATGTCAATATTCAATGTGCATCTGCATTCATCAGGGGTCCCCAACCTGCAGGCTGTGATCTGCCCCCGCTGATGCTGCTGCCCAGCTCAGGCCCCGGGGCTCGTGGGGATGGCCACTGGGGGGAAATACGTCTGGCGGCTTCTCTTTCTGTCACCCCCAGCCTCGGTTTACCCCTTTCTGCCCAATGTGGCCTCTGCAGTCCCCTCCCCAGCATTCCATGATCAGAAACTGATGAGATGAAAAACGTTGGGGACCCCTGTATGCATTTTTTTTTAATTGCTCTCATTTGGAATTTTCCAGGTTGCAATTTTCTGTAGTCTAAAGAGAGTTCCCATTTACGGAGGCATCTCACCTTGTAGTAACTAATTATGACAGCCACCACAATGATGATGAGATTCCTGGTATTTTTGCCCAGCTGTGAGTTGGCACTGTGATTTCTATGTATCGTGATCGTTTTTAAAACGCTTTTCTGCACATGTGACACTGTGGTAACCCTGTGAGACGGGCGAGATGGATATGATCCCATTTATAGGCAAGGCAAACTGAGATTTGGAGACGTGAGATACTTGCCCTGGGTAAGAGGTATTGGAGCTGGGATTTCGAGGCACCAGGCCATTTAACTGCTCGTCTAGCCCTCCTCCTCTGGGCGTTTATCCTAGCTTCACGTTAAACGTTGTTTTCTACCTCTCTGTCCTGGATATCCCATAGCAACACGGCTGTCCGAGTAGGGGATCACCGCTTACCCCCACCAGGCCTACCCCTTGCAGTTTGTCACACAGAGAGGCAGGGGGCAGGCATCTTGTCTCTTGACTTTGGATAAGTGAGTGGCCTCTGGTACAGCTCCTGGTTCCCTGTATTGGCCTGACCTTAAAGGTAGATCCTTCAAGTGCAAATTTAAGAAGAGGCACAGGCCAGGTGTGGGGGCGCATGCCTGTCATCTCATTTGGGGAGGCCAAGGTGGGAGGATCGCCTGAGCGCTGGAGTTTGAGACCAGCCTGGGGAACATAGCAAGACCCTGCCTATAAAAAAATTTAAAATTTAGTCAGGTGTGGTGCCGCACACCTGTAGTCCCAGCTACTTGGGAGGCCGAAGTGGGAGGATCGCTTGAGCCTGGGAGGTTGAGGCCGCAGTGAGCCGTGATCATGTCACTGCACTCCAGCCTGGGCAACAGAGTGGGACCCCATCTCAAAAAACAAACAAACAAAATAAAATAAATAAATAAATAATAAAAAGCAAAAAGAGGTATAATTATCCATCCCAGAGAGATTTCTTTTCCTTCCGTTGGGAAAATCCAGGACCGTAGACCCAGTCGCCCCCAAACCCATTCCGCCGTCCTGGGCTTCCTTTCTCAAATGTCCCCAATTCCTTGACGGGATCCTGTGAACTCAGGGTCTGTCCAAGCTCCCTCCAAGGCACATGAGCCTTCTCTGCTCTCTGAGAGAGGATGAACGGTGAGCACAGAATTGCTTTTGTCTGATAAGCCTAGTTGGGTTTTATGCAGCTGGTGGCCCCTTGGTTCCAATTAAAGGATCTTCCAGCATAAAGTGACCGGTACCGGTTTTACACTCAACCTGTCTTCAATTAAACCATGTTGTATACTTTCCCTCCCACTTACCCATACTGTCTGCTTTTTATGAGACCTGACCATAACGGAGCCTTTCTTTCCCTGTGGCGGATTGTCCTGGGGCCCTCGGCTGCTCGGGCTGTGACAGGCATTGAGGAGAACTGAGAACCCGGCCGACACTGGAATTTTGCTTAAAATTAAGTATCCAGGAGATTGATTTTGGTGGGAGATCCAATAGCAGCTCATAAAAGGCATCTTAAATTCCATAAAACGCACAATCAGAGATTTATTGCTCTTCTAAAGCAAACCGTAAAAAAAGGCACAGGAATTCATTTGAGAAATAATAGGGAGAGATTTTATGTTTTCAGAATCATCTGGAGGTCTTCTCGGAGTCACGCGGGCCTCAGCCCCTTTGTTTCCCACAGGTATTCATGTGGCCTGACTCTGGGCTCATCTTCTAAGGGTCGCCTTGGCCCAAAGCCAGGGGGCCCCAGAGTCTCCCACCTGGAATACGGTTTTGCAGCCTCTTCCCCTGGCAACACTCTGTGACCTGGTTTCTACCCACCCCCAAGGTCTGCAGATCCCAGAGCTTCGGGAGAGGTTGTGGGTTCCTCTGTTTCAGTCTGGCCCTCCCCGCTGAAGCCACTGGGCATTTTCCCCCGGCTCTGGGGGGTTCTGAGCAATGTGCCAAGCAAGCCTGGCTGTAGCCCATGAAGGAGGCAGAGCAGGCGTGTAGCATTCCTGGCCGCCTGTCTCAGCCCTTCCCCAGTATCCCAGGGTATCCCAACAGTATCTCTTTTAGGCCTCTGGGGAGCTCTCTAGCCTCGGGGTGATCCCTCCCACCCAGTCTCCATCCGAACCCCCCAACCCTTGTCCTGGGCCTCAGCATCTGGCTTTTGGCCTCGTTGGCTGAAAATCGTGCCATGCCAGGGTTCGAAGGCTGCCCGTGGCTTCATGTATTTTAAAAGGGCTTTCCAAAGAAAATGCTTTCACTCTAAGGATTGGCTGGTGAAACGTGGGGCAGGAACCCTCAGGGGTGGATGGCTCCCCTCACTCCCCCTCCAGAACCTGGGGGAAAGTAGGGCAACATGGCAGTTTATCAGCCCCCAGCCCACCGGCTCTGCCACTCTAGGGAGGAAGGCAGACACCCCACCCAGCGCCCGGCTCCCCTGCCAGGCCACACTGCAGTCTTCTGTCTGAAATACCGTGGCCGACACCACCGTCTCTGCCACTCGGTTTCCAGAATGAAAAGCCACAGTAAGCTCACCTAGAGTCCCCTAACTGCACAGCGCTTTGTGGGTAAACTGTGGGCTGGATTTCTAAAAGCCCATCCAGCCTCCACCGAAGCTGCCTACACAGCCGAAAGCCACGAATGTCTTCATGAGCCCCCTCTAGAGGGCTGCTTTCCTGGAGTCCGGCTACAGCCAAAAGCCCACCAAAGACCAAGCAGGCGCTCAGAGGGGCGGCCTGTCGGGGAGAAGGAGGCAGCCCATTGGGTTGGAGGAAAGAACAGCATCGTTGGCTCACAAACCTCCTACCGCCTTCACTACAGAGCAGCTAAAGCTGCCCTTGCTCTTGGACACGATTTCCAGCAGATGTAAACATTCATGCAGGCGGGCCCGGGGGTCCCAGAGGTCCACATGGATGCTGCGAAGCCCCCCTAGCAAAGCACCTAATTCCTTGTTCCTAAAACTGGTCCTTATCGTGTGTGTTGCAGTTTCCAGCGCGTTCCAGTTTGCTGGTGTGATTCACTGGATCAGCCTGGTCATTCTGTCCGTGTTCTTCTCAGAGGTAGGTGGAGACTCCGGCCCTGTCACCTCCTCTGCTGGGTGAGTCCTGTCCGGGGGAAGTCAAGGTCCACTTCTTGAAACGGTGTCTAGCCTCAGGCCCCTTGCAAGCCCTTGAGGCTGCTGGCAGGAAGACGAAATACAGAGAGCTGAGCATTACGGATGCAGATGGTGCAGGGAGCCCCACCCAGCCAGGGGGATTGGCACAAGCAGGGGACCCCTGGGAGGAAGCCCTGAGGATGAGCAGGTGTTCTCTAGGTGAGGGGTGGATGACACTGGTGAAGGTGAGAGTGAGTGTGACGTCCAGGGGCAGCCAGTGTGGGTGTGGCCAGTAAGGAGCGGGCGGGAGGCGGGGCTGAAGCCAGGAGCTGGCACAGGGCAGCTGTTGGGACTCTGTGGCTGTGGTCCACAGTGGGCTGGACCCTTGGGGCCGAAGCTCGCAGAGGGCGGGTGGGGGGATGGGGTCACAGGGCCAGACTGTGGACTTGACCTGGTCCTGCAGGGGCCCTGGGTCCGACGGGGCCAAGAGATGTGCCTCTCCATATGGCTGCCAGGCTGTTTCCGAGGTGGGGTCTCAGGGAGCACAGCCCCCCCCCGCCCCACTATCAGTGTCACTGGAGTCAGCTGGTAGACCAAGTGTGGATGTCTATGGTGAGGGAAGGGGGGAAAGTTGACAGAGGTCCTCGGGGCCGGGGCCTGGTGCAGACGCTGACGTGTCTGGGCAGCCAGGACGCAGCACGTTCCTCTGTTTTCCATGGGGGTGAGTGGCACTTGGTTTGAGCAGTTCCCAGGCTTTCACAGTGAGATGCGCGCCTGCATGTGGTGTGGGAGGAATTGGCGTGGGCTGCTGCAGGCAGGGCCTTGTCCTGTCTGGGGCACTCTGGAGGGTCACTGAGGGACAGGACAGTTTCGTGTGGAAAGCTGTTTCACCTGAGAGCCTAGGACTAGCCTAAGTCAGCGGCCCCTGTGTCACTCCATCCTCAAGCCTCCCATCCCCAATGTGGGCGCACATTAGCCCCTGTGGCTCCTGTGGCCCTTTCAGGCTGGCCCAGCAAACCTGCGGGGAAAGGCAGAAATGAGTGAGGCGCAGCTCCTGCTGGGAACACACACGGCTCATGCCAATGGGAGCTGCCCCAACCCCGAGGCAGGGGCCTTGAAGGGAGGAAGGAGGCTGTGGGAGAGGGTGGTGTGGGCAGAGGCACTGAGGTAGGGAACCCCTGGAGTCAGGAGTCCCAGCATCCTCTTGTGGGTCCCCTCGAGCCTAGCTAATGGCTCTGCTCTCTCTCTCTCCCTAAACATCAGGAGAGAGCTGGGCTTTGGGTCTGAGTCCAGGTGTGGGATGTGGTGGGTGGGGCTGCAGGCATCCCAAGCACAGAACGTTCCCTTTCCCAGGTCTCCCCTCCTGTAGCCCACGGAGCGCCGGAGAGCAAGGGCCTGCGGCTCAGATGGAGGGGGCAGATCCCAGCACTGCCCTCCCAGGAAGGATCCTAACCACCTCCCTGAGACCATTGCCCTGGAGATGCCTCTGACTCCCAGAGCAGAGTGCCTGCTCCCCAGCTTATGGCCCCCATGTGGGTCCTGCCCTCCCTGGCCCTTGTCTCTGCCTGGCCAGGATTCCCTCCCACAAATACATGGGCCGTGGCCAGATGTCTCCTTGATGCAAACCTTGGAAAATGTGCCATGTGTGTGTGACTGCCAACAAAAATGTTTAATCAGTTGCTGCGGTTCTTCCCCTCTATCCCTCTGCTTTGGTTTTATTGGCTTTTGCAGAATTTATTGCCCAGCGTTAATTTGGCATTCCCTTCCTGTCACTGCCGGAGACGAGCCACCTGAAACAGACAAACCCCTGTGCAAAGGAATCGCAGCCTCAGAGTCCCCCACAGGCACCCGCAAACCAGGCAGGGGCTGGGGCCTCCCACCGCTGAGCAGGGAGAGCAGGGCGAGCAGGGTCTGCAGGCAGCTGGGGGGAAGGGCTGGCTCCATGGCATTGACCTTGTCCAAGATGGTGAGGGGGTGGAGCCAGGCAACAGGTGGCAGGGGAGACCCGCCCCTGCCAGTGCACTCTGCCCGGTGCGAATGGAGGGGCCAGTGCACGGGGACTGAGTGATGAATGAGTGAGGCACGGAGCCTGCTGGGAACACACACAGAGCTCACACCACGCTAGCAAGCGTGGATTTCCGTGGTCTTGCCGCGTGCCCAAGAGATCCGTGTCAGCACCCTGTTACTAGAAAGGTCTCATGGAGGTCCCCCGCCCCCGGAGGGTTTGGACACGTGTGAGCATGTCTATGCCCTTCACGATGACTGGGATGCCAAGTAGGAAGGGCCAGGGAAGCCCAGTGTCCATCAGGGTGGGTCAGCCTGCACCAGTGGTGTCTTTCCAAAAATACTGCGCAGGCAATGAGGGCAGCCTAGGGTTATGCGGCCGTTATGACCAAAACTGGACCCAGGGCTCTGGCTGCCTAAGCTGGTCTCTCATCCCTGACTGCATCCTTTGGAGGCCCTGAAGCTGGCAGGGTGGGAAGGGACAGGGGTCTCTGGGAAAGACCTGAGAAAGAAAGTCTGACTCAGCGATCACTCAGACCCAGGGTGACCGCACCCCCCTCAGCTGGGAGAAATGAGCGTCCCTCTTCAGGTCTGGCTGTTTTTTCCTGGTTAATACTTGGGGATGTGGCTGTGGGCCGAGGGTGGGGCGGCACTCCAAGCCTCCTCAGCCTTAGGGAGTGGGCATGACTCCACCGGAAATTCCAAGAAGGTCACCACTCAGGGCTCCTGCTGTCCTGGGCCTCTCCTGAGTGGTTCTCCACCCCTCCTCTCAGCTGAGGCTTAGGCCAGCCCTGGAAGGTGGATAGGACATTTTACGATTGTGGAACTGAGGCCTGGAGAGCTGTGGACACCTGCCCAGGGCCTGCAGGAATGGCAGGCGGGCCCAGGCGCAGAAATCTGGGTGGGTGGCCGGGCCTCCGCCCCGGATTTCGCCCACCTTGGAGCTCTGCAGGCTGCTCTGGGAAGATGGGCCACTTTGCTCTGCGCTGGCCCCAGGCCACAGAGCTAGGCCCAGAGAAGGGGAGCGTGAGGCTGGTTTGGGCTCCATTTGAGGACATCTGTTCAAACGGGCCAAGCTGTTTGACAGTGAGAGTGGGCGCCCCTCGGTCAGGCGGGCTGCGCAGGGGTTCCTGCGGGGATCCAAGCTGAGAGTGGGTGCCCGTGAGACTTCCTGGGCCCCAGCCTTCCAGGTCACATGGGGTCACTGCATGTCACGTGGCCCCGCAGCACCAAGAATAAGCAGAGCCTTGCAATCCAGATGGAGATTTGTGCAAACGTTCTTCCAAAGCACAGCCCGCCCTCGGCGGAGGCCAGGCCCAGCTGGCCACTTGGAACTGGGAAGCCTGCTGCTCCTCCCCTGAGACTGCAGCCATCCTTGGGGTCTCCTTGCCAAGGGCAGGCCACCCTGCAGCAGGGCCCAGGGAGGCCATGGGGTGTTCGGCCCATCCCTGGGGTCCGGAAAGGCCCAGGCAGCCCCAGCTCTTTCCCTGGGAGAACAGAAAGCGGGCCGTGGCTGGCCTTCTAGATGGGAGCCTCAGGCAGGGGCGGCGGCAGCTGCTGACTCCCCGTCCCTCTCTTCCTCCTCCTCCTCCTGTTGAGGTGAAATTCTCTTCAATAACCCTTTTACAGTGTACGATTCAGTGGCATTTCCTAGCCATGCAGCGACGTGCAGCCTTCACCTCTACCTGATTCCAAAGCACTTTCATCACCCCCAAAAGGAGCCCCCATACCCATTAGCAGTCACCCCGCCTCCCTCCCGTGCGCAGCCCCCGCCAGCTAGTAACCTGCCTTTGTCTCTGTCAACTTAACTCTGCCGGATATTTCATCTAAACAGCCCCGCACTATGTGGCTTTTGTGACTGGCCTCTTTTACTCAGCATGTTTTCTAGGCTCATCCACGAGGCACCACAGCAGACTGCTTTTTTTCTTTCTGAGACAGGGTCTCACTATCACCCAGGCCGGAGGGCAGTGGTCTGGTGGCAGCTCACTGCAGCCTCAACCCCCTTGGTCAAGTGATCCTCTCACCTCAGCCTTCCAAGCAGCTGGGATTACAGTCGTGCGCCACCACACCTGGCTAACTTTTTATATATTATTATTATTTTTTTTGTACAGACGGGGTTTCAACACGTTGCCCAGGCTGGTCTCAGACTCCTGAGCTCAACTGATCCTCCCCACTTGGCCTCCCAAAGTGCCGAGATTACAGGCAAGAGCCACTGCGTCCAGCCCGTTTTTCTTCTCTTCTCACCAGCATGAGACTAGTGACGGCGTCCAGACGCCACACAGATGTTCACATTTCTTATTCTGGCCTTGGACTTGGATCCTGGAATCCATATCTTCCTCTTGCCAGTGTAGTTTCACCCCAGGGAAAATTTGCCCAAGAGCAGATCAGCTTCTTAAGGAAGGGCCAGGGGTCAGCCCCCAGCGCCTGGTACCTGTGGTGGCTGTTCCTTAGGCCACCCTGCTCCCCTAAGCCACGCACCACCCCACGCCCCCAACCCACTGGTGGCAGTGTCGAGGGGCCACAGGCTTGGGGCTAGACCTGGGCCGCTCCCTTCTCGCTGGCTGGCGGCCCCATGTAGGGAAGGCTGTGCAGGCCACAGGGGTGTCCAGCCCCCATTCTGCTCACTAAGAGGTGAGCTGGGGATCTCCCTCTGCCTTTTAAAAATTTGCACAAAGCTGGCCAGGCACAGTGGCTCACACTTATAATCTCAGCACTTTGGGAGGCTGAGGCAGGCAGATCATGAAGTCAAGAAATCGAGACCATCCTGGCCAACATGGTGAAACTCCGTCTCTGCTAAAAATACAAAAAATTAGCTGGGCATGGTGGTGGGTACCTGTGGTCCCAGCTGCTCGGGAGGCTGACGCAGAAGAATCACTTGCACCCAGGAGGCAGAGGTTGCAGGGAGCTGAGATTGCGCCACTGTACTCCATCCTGGTGACAGAGCAAGACTCCGTCTCAAAAAAAAAAAAAAGCACAAAGCCAGCTTGTAGACTAACCACTACTTCCCAAGGTTTCCAAACACTAGCAGCCTCATCAGTCCCCTCCCCATGGAAAAACGCTGATTCCACTGAGGGGAGGGCTCGGCTTCAGGCAGCAGGAAGGGCAGGAGCCCTTTCTGCCATTTGACTGAGGCAGGGCCTGGACCAGGCGCAAGGGTTGGGACTTTCCGCTCTCCCCTCCCACAGCCTGGAGCCTGGATCCCTTCCTTCAGAGAAGTCAGCTCTTCCTTCCCTTGGAAGAGATGAGGGGAGTCCCTTCTTGAGAGCAGGCCTTGATCAGGAACAGAAGATGCGGGTACCTGAGGCGGAAGGCGGGGACCAGAAGGTTCACTTCCCACTCTTTGCACCTCAGTGTTTGCATCTCTCAAATGGCATAAAAACTTGCTCCTAGTAAATGATAAATGGCACCGTCGCTGAGTGTTTGCCAAGGCTCTGGCCTGCATCGCTCATCAGAGCAGCCTCCTGAAGGCAAAACTGGAATGAAGGAGGCCGAAACCCTTAGCCCCAGGTGGGAACGGAGGCGTCTGAAGCTGGGGATTCCAGCTCCCTCAGGTGCTCCTTCAAAGCCCTTTGCAACTTTTAGGGGCCAGCATTGCAAAGCCATGGGCCTTGGGGCTGGGGCTGGAGCTGGGGCTCGCAGGGGGCAATGCCTCATCATCACCCTGCCCTTTTAGTGAGCCACGTGCCTCCCTGAGCTCAGAGCAGCCCTGGAGGTGGCAGTACGAGGGGCACCGATCTGCTTTCGGTCCAGAGATCCAGCCAGGGTCAGGTGGTTAGTAAGGAATGGGTCAGAGCCAGAAAGAGGACCACACTCGTCTCCTCATCTCATGGCCTTTCTCCTCACTGCGTCTGGGCCTGTGGTGTGTTGGGATTCAGGGCAGGGTCGCCTTACACATTCCTGCGGTTCCGTTGGGTGCTCCAGGGGAGTTTGTTTGAAAAGCATGTTCCAGGCCTTGTGCTCAGAGTTTCTGATATCCTGGCTCTCCATTGGAGTCCAGGAATCCGTGTTTTACATCAACCCCCCGATGTTGCGAAGCGGGCGTCCTTGGCTGCACACTGAGAAGCACAGGCAGGCAGTGGGTTAGTCCAGCCTGTGTTTTCCAAGGTGTAAGACGGTGCTCCGTCTCTTGGGGGCAGGACAGTGAGGCTCTGCCCCTGCCTCCGTGGACAGTGTGTCTGGGGAGGGGAAGGATGCTGTGGGGAAAAGCCAGCAGGTGGGGTGTTTCAGACTCAGGGTCACGGTGACCTTGACCCTGACCTGGAGCCACCACGTCTCCCTCTCTGGCAGGAGCCTGGCTGGGAGGCGTTTCGGGACCCCTCTCCACAGCGGCCTCTTGCTCTTCTGTTTCCATGGGCTGAGCTAGGCAGGAAAGGCTCCCAGAGGAGGGGGCTTGAGCCAGGCCTCCAAGGACGGGTGGGGCCGGCACGGAGGGAAGGCAGCGGCCAGCATTCCAGCTGTTTTGTCTGCTTCCCTGGCACTGCTCTGGATCACAAAACCGTTCAGCCTCTTTCCTTCCTGCGGGGCACAGGCCCAGGTGTGCTGTCTGCCGCCTCCTCCTCCCGCTTAACCGCTGCTGGCTGAGTCCCCCGCCTGGCCGGCTTCCCCTCCCCTCACTCCTGGGCCCCTGCCTTTTCAGCTAAGAGTGTTGCTTCTGAAGAAGCATGGTGATTCCTCTCATTTGAGGCTCCTAAAGGCGTCGGATTTGTCTAGACAGAGGGTAGAATGGGGAGTTGCTGTTCAGCAGGTACAGAGTTTCAGTTTGGAAGACGAGAAAGCTCTAAAGGTGTGTGATGGTGATGGTTGCACAGCAATGTGAATGTGCTTCACGCCAGGCGGACACTTCAAAATGGTTAAGATGGTGTTTCGTGTTATGTGTATTTCACCACAATTTTAAAAGGAGAAGAATGGAGAGAAAGGGGGAGCAGTTGCCATAGCAGAAATTACATTTGCACCTGGTCCCATCCATCCCAGCCTGGACTTTTGCTTTGGGAGCCCCAGAATTGAGTTCAGGATAGAAGTGGCTATTGGAGCATTTCAGAGGAGACAGATACTAAGTTTCAATGTCAGCACAGAGCGGGTTGGGCAGTGACAGAAGAAACCATATTATTATGTGGTGTGTGTGTGTTGTGTTTTATTTTTTTGAGGTAGAATCTCTGTCATCCAAGCTGGAGTGTAGTGGTGTGATCTCAGTTCACTGCAACCTCTGCCTCCTGGGTTCAAGCAATTCTCCTGCTACAGCCTCCTGAGTAGCTGGGATTACAGGTGTGTGCCACCGTGCCCGGCTAATTTCATATTTCTGGTAGAGAGGAGGGTTCACCATGTTGGCCAGGCTGGTCTTGAACTCCCGATCTCAAGTGATCCGCCCGCCTCAGCCTCCCAAAGTGCTGAGATTACAGGTGTGAGCCGCTGCACCTGGTTGTTATGTGGTGTTCTTACACAGCTGAGTGCACTCTGCAGCGCCAGAAACCTCTGGGGCCAAATGTTGACTTCATTCCTGATTGCTGTGTGGCTGTGGGCAGCTTCCTTAACTTCTCTGACCCTTCCTGTAAAATGGGAATCACATGTGAGCAGGGCTGGCCCAGGGTCTGGCACTCATAGACGTATACTAGATGGCAGATATTATCCTCATAAATAATTGGAAGAATTGTTAACATGTAACCCACCTCTTTGGCAGAAGGAGAAACTGAGGCCCAGGGAGGGGATTTGAGTTGCCAAAAGCCACACAACTATCCCATTATTAAGCTATGATCTAAAGACATCATGGCCCCTCACCCAGATCTCTTCCCACTCCTTCGAGCTGTCTTGTGGTTAAGCATGGGCTGCCCATCCAGAGAGCGGGAAGTCATAGAGGAGTGGACATCGGCTGCCACATGCTCATCTCTGTACTCAGAGAAGGCGACCTGACTGTCCACCACAAGCATCCGCCTTCCCATCCCTTCACAGAAATCAAGACTGTCCGTCACGAGAAAGAGCTGGATTTTACCAGCCAAGCCTTTCTGTGGTGTAACAGCTGTGGGTCATGATCATCTAGGCAGCTTCACGGACTTTAGAAGGCTGGGCTTGTACTACAGGCAGGCAGGAGAGGGGCACCATCTGGCGTGAATCACTGTGAATTAAAGTCTTGTTGGCTCAAGGAAGAGCCTATAGACAAACACACCAGCATCTTACAAGACCAGCGTTTAAGAAGCTGCTTTGGAGAAAGATGTCCTCTTGGTGAGGAAACCGCTCCTGAAGGCAGTGGCATTCAGTAATTATGTATGCCAGGTATTAGGGATAAAAGAGAGAACGCAGACCAGGTCTCTTGAGCCTCCACTGGGGGGTGGGGAAGGAATCAGCACAAGGTACAAAGAAGTGCTGTAGGAGGGTGACACCCAGGGATCATGGGAATGCCCAGGAAGGAGGTGCCTGCTGAGCCAGGAGTGTGCAAGAGCTTCGCGGAGGTGACGTTTAAACCAGGGTCAGAAGGACAGGAAGGGGAAAGCCCTCCTGACTGAGGCACGGCCCAAGCTGCTGTAACAAGAAAGCCAAAAACACAGGGGCTTAAACAAGGCAAGATCCATTTCTCTCTCATGGAAGAACACGTTTCGTGGATTGGCAAGGCTGATGTGGTGGCTCGGGGCTCTTGGGGACCCAGCAGGTTTCTGTCTTGCAGCCTGGCCCTCCTTGGTTGAAGGTGGCACACCACCACACTCATGCACCCAATTCTAGGCCTTGGGAAGACAGAGGAGGAGGAAGAGGAGCCTAATTCATTTAAGGGCACAACCCAAAGTGCTTCTGCTCACTAGCCATTGGCCAGAATGTCACATGGCCACGCCCAGATGCAAGGAAGGCTGGGAAATGTAGTCTTTAGCTGGGTGGCCATGCTGGAGCTTCAGTTCTACAGGAAGGAGGGAAGAGATTTGGAGTTGCAGGGTGAGGAGGGGAGTCAACTGCAGCTTTTGCCACGTGCAAAGACAAGGCCATGAGAGCGAGAGCTTGCATGTTTGAAGATTCATAAGTGGTTTGCAGCATGACGGGGGTGGCAAAAGACCCAGGAGAGGCAGGCAAGGTCCTGAGTATCCTTCCGAGGGATTTGGAGTGTATTCTGTGTGTACCAGGAGCACTGAAGATGGTGTTGGGGGTTCCCAGGGGATGGTACAGAGGTGGGGGGTCCGAGCCTGCAGGCGCAGGAGCCAGCAGGAGGTGCGGCCACCAAGGAGGCTGGAGCTGGGGCACCTGCAGTGGGAGTGGGGAGGGCACAGGGCGGAGGAATGCTCAGGGACAGCAGAGACCTTTTCTTACTGCCGAACGTGCAGACTGAATGCTGAGCTCTGGAATATTCTCGGCTGGAGGCGGACCTGGAGAATAACCACTTTCTCACTTCCTTTCCGCAGACTGTTGTACGGATTGTGGTGCTTGGGATCTGGGATTACATCGAAAACAAAATAGAGGTAAAGACCAGTGTCCACCCCCAAGCCCCCCACCCAGCCATCCTGGAAGCTGGAAAGCTCATGTCCCGTCCATCCCAGGATGGATGCCATCAAAAAGCCTGGCTCCTTCTCCCACCCGACCTCTGTGGCTGCGCATGTTGGGTGGGGCAGGGAGGGGGAACCGAGACTGTTTCCAGCAAAGGAATGTCCTAAAACAGTCTCCTTGAAGTTCTGCAAAATTTTACAATTTCTTCTCAAATCGATTTGAAAACCTTTTGAAATGTGTTTTAAAACAAATAAATCCACCCTGAATGGAGAGCTGAGCGGGAAACTGTCAACGCTGCGTTTCCATCCTGCTTCCCACCACGTGGGTGGGGACGAGGTCAGGGAGGGCTGGCTGTCACTGGCAGTGCTGTGCACACAGGCCAAGGCAAGGCGGTCAGGATCTGCTACCCACCCTTTCCTCATATTCCAGCTTCTTTGGCTCAGTGCTGGGATCCCACACAGAGTGCCTGGCCCATGAAAGGCTCAGAACAAGGCCAGATGGGGGCAGGCTATGGAAGGCAGGGCCCAGGACTTCATTGTGCAGGCAGGCGTCCTCCTTGCCTAGCCCTGCCCCCTGCAGGGTTAGAGACTCTGCTCCAGACAGAGCTGAGATTTGGACCCGGGCTCCTGCTCTCCTGGGGAAGGAGGCACCCTGAGCCTACCTTCAGACCCTACCCTGCCAGGGAGGGAGCCAGCTTGGCCTCTGCCCAGGGCCTGGGATATAGGATGCAGGCCCCATCTTGAGAAGGGGCAGGACAGTCCAAGGCCATCTGAACCAAGGGCCGGAGATGGGCTGGGGTCACTTAGAGCGCAGAGTGCGCTTAAGACAACATGTAGGAGGAGGAGGCCCCTAAAGATTTAGGAGGGTCAGAAGAGGCCACCAGGGATGGGATGGCCTTCTGGTGGGGGTCCGGGTCACTGGAGAAGTTGAGTAACACCAGCTGCTTTGCCAGACTGACCCCTGGTCCCGGACACGCAGCAGGGCCCAGGGCACTGAAATGCACCTCCTCTTACAGGTGTTTGACGGGGCTGTGATCATCCTGTCTTTGGCTCCGATGGTGGCATCCACTGTGGCCAACGGACCCAGGAGCCCCTGGGACGCCATCAGCCTCATCATCATGCTCCGGATCTGGAGGGTGAAGAGGGTCATAGATGGTGAGTGGCCGGGGGGTGTGGTCAGTGGGGCTGCTCCAGAAACTGGGGCTGTCAACTGAGAGAGGAGACAGCGTGTGATGGGCGCACACCCTGCTGGCATCGGGGTGCCGGATGAAACTGTCAGCGGGGAGAGGGGCCCGCTATCCCTGCTCACGCGCCGTCACGCGGTCACTCACACTGCCCAGGTGTCACACACACATGCTGAGCTTCCCACCTCCCATTCAGGGGCCGTGTGTTCATTCCCATGCAGCTGTTCACTGTGAGCCTGGAGGGCCAGCCTCCATGCAAGCACTTAGAGCAGGGCCTGCTGCTCTGGAAGGAGCAGACGTTTCCACCCGGGCATCTCAATGCACCCTGCCGCTGGCTCCCCAATGGCCGCCAGCCTCACCACTGGCTCTGTCCGGGTCATCTGGCCAAGGCCTTGCTCCCTGCAGGCTCTGTCTTACCTTTGAGTCCACCGAGGACAAGCTGGGTGCCCACAAGCCCGTCAACCTGCAGACAAGTAGAAAAGGTTTCTGCAGGAGCTGCAGGCAGCGGCTGGCTTTTGGCCCACGCTTCTGTCATCTGTAGTGACATGCCTTTCCATCGCTGCGTCTCCACTCCCAGACAGCATGCGGCCCACTCCTTTGTCACTGCTTTCTCATCGCTTCCCCACTGGGCCACCCTTGCCTGGAAAGCTACGTCCTGAGCTGGGTGGCTCCTGTGTTTCCAGAAGGTGGTAACAGACCAGAGTATGTGGCCAAGAGGAGATGGGGGTGGAAACCCACCCCCCCCCGAAGAATGGTGCAGGATACTGGAGGTGGGGGGTGGCCCAGAGGGTGACCACACAGGGAGGACACTGCAGTCATCTCGCAGAAGAAGAGCCAAGTCACCAGGCTCCAGAGGGTGGTCCTTGGCCCCAGAGGACAGGAAGAGGAAGCCCACCCCACCTCAGCCAGATGAGGGACAGCCACTCAGAGTGGGCTGCTCAGCCTCCGGGAGGGGTCCCCCTAGAGTGACCGGGAGGTTGAATAGACAGTGGTTCCCAGGGTGTTTGGACAGTTGTATAGATGGTGGTTCCCAGGGTGTTTTGTTGGTTTGGTTAACTGCAAGGCCCTTTCTTCAGCAGAATCATACCCGATCTGCAAAGAGATTGCCAGTGGAGCTGCTTTGGTTGACCTGGAGTGGGGGCCTCGCAGCCCACCTCCTTGCCTTCTCCCTTGCCCTCTGAGGCACCTCTAAGGAACTGCCAGGCCTTCTGGTGCACAGTTTTAAAACCAGTGGAATAGATGCTATGGTCTTTTCCAGCCCTGAATTTTGATTGCGGGTGATAGGAATTGTAGCCATGAGATGACTCTGCCAGCATTTCCCCAGCAGGTGCAAGGCGGAAGCTGTCATCCTCAGGGCGGGCGCCCTCTCCCTGCTCCTCACCCTGTGCTCCACCCTGGGAACACTGTGGGATTTGGTCCTGATGAAGATGTTGACATCTAGTCAGAGATCCCCTAATACGGAATCTTCATCAAACTGGAATGTGTTTGGGTCTCACTTCAGAAGCTTTTGGAAGGCTGGAGAGGCTCTGGGAGGTCACCTAGTTCATTCCCCTCGTTTGGCAGATGGGGAAACTGAGGCCAGGAGGGATGAGGGTCACACAGTGAATCAGGCTCAGAACTAAACGTGGAGCCCAGGCCTCCAACACCCACCAGCGCTCTTTTGGCTGCTCACTCCCCGAAGTCTGCTCGGGGCCCAGCTCTTGGCTCTGTCCATGAGAACATCCGCCGCCCCCTCAGGGCAGGAACGGCACCTTCTGGCTCTTTCTTCCAGCTGTGGACAGCTGTACGTCCTCAGACTAATGGCTTTTGACAGCCCCCATTGAGACACTCTTCCCAGCTGTCCCGCCCTTTTCCTGCCACATCAGGCATCCTGGAGCCACCACCAGCCTCAGGAGAGAGACGTGCTAGTGAACAGATGGGTGTTAATTTGCTACTCTTGCAAATTAACCCTGGGAGTGAACTGGCTTCAGCAGAGATGTGAGGAGGCAGTGGCAGCTTGGGGTGGCCTTCAGGTCTGGAGTCGGGCAGAAAAGTCCTGATGTCTCTTCTCTGCATGATTCCTGCAACAGCCAGGAAACATCTGGAGGTGCTGCGGGTGGAAAGGAGACTTGGAGAGAGGACATGTGGAGGGTTCTAGAAATCAAGGGCAAGAGAGGCATGTGACCGAGGTTTCTGAAGAGTCAGGAAGGGCTGGGTTTTGAGGGGGGCGGGAACAGTGTGAGGGGAAAGTCAGGAGTGGACACTGAGGCTTCCCAGGAGCCCAGAGCTACTCTGAGCCCACAGAACTACCAAGGGAGGCATGCATGGGGCTACTGCTGGCTGGTGGAGCAGGGGGCCTCAATCTCAGAGGCCAGGCTTTCTCTCACTTATCAGTTATAAATAGGATCATCTGTGTATCAGAGACCTAGAATAACAGCATCTTAACACAGAAGCGTATTTCATTCATGTGAAAGTCTGCAGACTGGGCACGGTGGCTCACGCCTGTAATCCCAGCACTTTGGGAGGCAGAGGCAGGTGGATCATCTGAGGTCAGGAGTTTGAGACCAGCCTGGCCAATGTGGTGAAATCCCATCTCTACTAAAAATAGAAAAAAATTAGCTGGGCATGGTGGCATGTGCCTGTACTCTCAGCTACTTGGGAGGCTGAGGCATGAGAATCACTTGAACCCGGGAGGTAGAGGTTGCAGTGAGCTGAGATTGTGTCACTGTACTCCAGCCTGGGTGACAGGGTGAGACTGTTTCAAAACAAAAAAAAAGTCGGTAGGAAGGTGGTCCAAGCTGATACGGCCTTGACTACAGTCACTTATTCCCTGTAGTGAAAAGCCCAGGCTCCTGTTTTTCTGTTCTGTTGCTTTGCTGCACTTAGCATACTTTTCAAAGTCACCTCATGGTGCAAGATGGCTGCTCCCATGCCAGCCATCACATCCTTATCCCAGCCAGGAAGAAGGAAGAAGGGAAGTAGATAAAGAGGCAAAAGGAGGGCCCACTGCTTTCTCATTTTAAACATCTTCATCCAAATATTATTCATATGCCACAAAGTTCACCCATTTAAAGTCCACAATTTGGCCAGGGATGGTGGCTCACGCCTGTAATCCCAGCACTTTGGGAACCTGGAGTGGGTGGATCACTAAAGGTTAGGAGTTTGAGAACAGTCTGGCCAACATGGTAAAACCCTGTTTCTACTAACAATACAAAAATTAGCCAGGCGTGGTGGTGGGCGCCTGTAATCCTAGCTACTTGGGAGGCTGAGGCAGGAGAATCACTTGAACCTGGGAGGTAGAGGTTGCAGTGAGCCGAGATCACACCAGCACACTCCAGCCTGGGGGACAGAGCAAGACTCCATCTCAGTTCAGTGGCTTTTAGCATATTCATAGAGTTATGCAGCCATCACCAAAAAAATCCAAATCTGGAATATTTTCATCACTCCAAAGAGAAAGGCCGTACTCATCAGCAGTCACTTCCCATGCCCACTTCAGCCCTAGGCAAGCACTAAGCTGCTTTCCATCTCTATAGAGTTACCTGTTCTGTTCCATTACATTTCATGTAAATGGAATCATGCGACGTGGTTTTTCTGTGTCTGACCGCTCTCACTTAGCATCATGCATTAGCGGCTCATCTGTGCTGTGGCTTGTGGTGGGACGGCACCCTTGTTCATTGCCAAGTAGTACTCCACTACGTGGCTAGACCACGGGTTATTTATGCTTTCATCGGTTGATGAAATTGAGTTATGTCTACTTTTTGGCCATGAGGAATACTCCTGTTGTGAATGTCCATGTGTGAGTTTTTGGGTAAACACACGTTTTTCCTTGCCCTAAGGTACCTAGGAATGGAATTTCTGGGTCATATGGTCACTCTCTGCTCAACACTCTGAAAAACAGACAAACCGTTTTCCTAAGTGGCTGCCCTGTTTTCCTTTCCGCCAGTGTGTGCAGGCTCCAGGGCCGCCCATCCTCACTGGCCCCAGCTCCTTTGTGAAGAAGGTTCCTGTGGCTGCTGCATACCACCTCACTAGTGTCCGGTGGTCCAGAAGGCAGTCTTCTTGTGGCCACCCGTAGCTGCAAAGGAGGCTGGAAAATAGTCTTTATTCCAGGCAGCTCTGCACACAGCCCAAAAGTAAGGGTTCTAGAACTCTGGAAAACAGCTACCCCAACACCATGAGGGAAGGCTGTGGCCCTCTGTACTTTCCAGACGCTGTCAGGTACCTGGACATTCCCCCCAGATCCACAGAGAACTGGCCCGGAACCTGCTGCTGGCTGAATGCTGGGCCAGCCCTTCCCCAGCCCAAGCCCTGCCATGGCTGGGTTCTTTACAGGGCTGTCTCTGTCTTCCAGCCTACGTCCTGCCAGTGAAGGTGGAGATGGAGATGGTTATCCAGCAGTACGAGAAGGCCAAGGTCATCCAAGACGAGCAGCTGGAGAGGCTGACGCAGATCTGTCAGGAGCAAGGGGTAACACACAGCCACTGTTGGCTCTGTCTGCGATCTTGCTGGGGACACTGGTAGTGCCTAAAGCCATGGGTTGCTAGAGCTGCGGGGGCAGCAGAGGTCAAAGAGTTCCTCCAGCCCCTTACTGGACTCATGGTGAACCTGAAGCCTGGAGAAGGGGACACATCTCCAGGGTCGCTGATGGGCAGCCCAGCCAGGCACAGGCCCAGCCCTGACTCCCAGGCCAGGGTTCTTTCCACGCCAGCACAGTGACTCTTCAGCTCCCCAACCTGGGCCTGCCAGGTTGCCCCCTCAGTTCATCAGAGTCTTCTCAGAAAGATGGTCAGTCGTTAAAGCCAGGGGCTAATTCTATCTGCTGAGGGTCACTGGGCACCAAAATGTGCCCACTGCCACTGAGGACGCCCAGAGCCTCAGAAAGGTGCTAGCAGCACTCCGCATCCTCCAGGAGCCGTGATGAAGACTCAGAGAGGCAGGTGGTGGGCCCTGCGAGGATGGGCTCAGCAGAGGCCAGGGGGGCCCTGCTGGGAATCCAGAGGCCTGCAGTCAAGGCCCAGCCCTGCTGCTCCCACCCCCGCTGGACTCCGGCCAAGTCAGGCCACCTCTCTGCCCCCAGGTCCTTCCTCTGTCAGATGAGGGGGCTGCTCCCATGTGAGTGGGACAGAGGAGTTCAGAGGAGGGGGACTGGGGTGCTCAGGAGGGGGTGGCTGCTGGATCCCACAGCAGGGCTGCAGAGCTCTGTAGAAGCGCAGCTCGGGGTGCAGGGAAGGGTCCGGTACCAGGCTGTAAGGTGGGAATGCTACCGAGGGGACTGGCAAGGTGGTGGGAATGTGGGGGTGGGCCGGGTGACATGCATGGTCATTCTCATTCTGCCCCTTGGATTCTGGGGAGAGGACAGGGTCACTGTCCCCAGCTGCACAGGCCAGAGAAGCGGAGCCTGTGGCTCTTTGTGCCCAGGGCCAGAACAGTTCTTCACGGGCTGTCTGTCTTCCAGCCCATGTCCTGCCAGGGAAAGTGGAGGAATGCCTGTGGCTGCATATCAATGTGGGCACTGAGCCCTTCTGGCTTGCAGTGCAGTGAGGATGGGCACCCCTGGGCTCCCTTTCCCTCCCCCATTGCTGGGTGTCCAGGCAGCCTCCAAGGGGGTCTCAGGGATGAGGGCTCACCTGGCGTACAGGCCTACCATGTATCCACCGGTCCCTTCAACCTCGTCTCTCATGTGTCTGATGCATAAACACCCTGATGGCCAAGTGGAGTCACATGTCATTTGGACAGGTCCTGTGCCATGCCACCTCTTGGATTTCAGTTGCACTGTGCCCCTTGCGTGAATCCCCGCCCCTTGCAAGCTCTGTCTGTCTTAATTCAAGTCCTGGCCTCTCTACAGAGCGTGTGCCCCCTGCCGCAGTCTCTGCACCCCTCCGCCAGCCCCGCCGCAGCCTTCACTTTCCGCATTCACAGGGCACAGGGGACTCACTGCTGTGGTCAGTGCTCCTTTATGCCTGGTTAGCTCCTCCCACTGAAATGGATGCCCCCTGAGGGCAGGCCTTGTCCAGCTCACATCCACGCCCCAGCCCCAGCCAGTGCTCTTCACGTGGCAGGTCTCGGTAAATGCGTAGTCAGCGTGTGTCACGGGTCTTGGTAAATGCGTATTCAGCGTATATCGAAGGTCTCAGTAAATGCGTAGTGTTATGTTGCGGGCCTCGGTAAATGCGTATTCAGCGTATGTTGTTGGGGGCCTCGGTAAATGCGTATTCAGCATTTGTTGCGGGTCTTGGTAAATGCATAGTCAGTGTACCTCTTGGCTCCTTGACCAACCCCAACTTCTCATAGTTTTGGGGTGTGGGGCAAGTCTGTGGAATGATACTACAAAGTGATCCCGGAAAACGTCCCCACAGGAACATGCACACAGCGTCTTCAGAATCATCCCTTTGGAATGCCTGTCAGGAAACCAATCTTTTTATCTACTTCGGGAACACTGTGACCTTTCGTTTCGCACAGAATGCCTGTGAGTGACAAGAGGGGTCATCGGGACACGGCCCTCAGGGGCACGTTGTCCAAGGTGTCCTGAGAGCAGGGAAGGCTATGGAATCCTGGACTGGGAAGAGAAGCGCCCCCGCCCTGAGGAGCTGGCGTGAGCTTCATTCTCACCATATCCTGTGGTCAGCCAGCACTGTCCAGAGCCGCTCTGTGCTAGGCTTGTGCCAGGCATGCGGATGCCACTCTGGACAGGGCGTGGCCTCATCCTGATGGGGCTCTGGGTGACTCAGGGGATTTGGCAGCCCATCAATAGGCAGTGGAAATCTGGTGCAATGCCTGCATCCCACGGACATGTCTTGGGCTCTGCAGGCCAGGGTGGGGAAGACTTTCCAGAGGGGCTGATGTGGAGCAGGGCCCCAGGGAGAAGGCTGCCAGGCAGAGGGAACAGCTCGGGGTGTGGGAGTGGGTGCGGTGCCCAGGGAGTCCCGGGCCATGTAGAGGGTGAGCAGAGGGGGGCAGCTGGAGGACTGGGGACAGGCTTGGTAAGGGGCTCCGTGGCCAACCAGGGAGTTTGGGCTTTATCCCACCGGGACAGAGGAAGCCTGGAGGATGGAAAGCAGAACTGGGGTTTCCGCTGAGATGTGAATGTGGGTGGAGCCTGTGGTTGCTGTTGGAGGCTGGATGGCTGCGGACAGAGACTGGAGAAGAAGGTGAGAGAAGCTGGGCTTTAGGGAGAGGGGTCTGTAGGGAAGCGGAGAAAGGAAAGCGCAGGGCGTCATCTGGAAAGCGGCTGGAAGCCAGTCAGTTCTAGTCTGCTGTCAAATAGGAAATAAATGCTCTCCTCCAATGCAGCTGGCAACGCGAAAGACACGGACCCAGGGCTGCCTCCGCCCCTCATAAATTTGCAGCCTCCCAGCCCAGCAGGGAACGTGCTGACCCTGCCACACGCCTCATCTCAGCCGCACATGTGCCACGTGGCTGGGAGAAAATCCTAATGGCAACCCCACCTCCCAGGGTTTCCACCATGACCTCTGTCCTGAGGCCCCCGGGGACCCCAGGTTCCTGCCGTCCTGGTTCAAGTCACTCCCCACATGTGGCCTCCTTCACGGGGATCTCAGCCAGAGGAGACTCCCTTGCTATTCCACACAGGAAAGAACCAATAAATAAAGACAGATTCCCTCTAGGTAGTGACATCTGGAAAAGAGATGAACAGAAACAAACCATTTTGATTTAAAAAACAGCTGAAGCCTGTCATCTTAGTTAAGACAGCAGAAAGGGCCAGACAGGCTGGGCTCCCAGCGGGGCTGCTGGGGAGGGTGCCTGGCCAGAGGGGCCAGGAGGGCTGCTCTCCCAGAATCCGAGGTGCCTGCTCCACAGAGCGAGGCAGATGCTTCACTCGCAGCTGTGTTTTCAGACCTGGTTTGAGACTTGCCTGGGTAACAGATACCCTTAAGGAAATGAGAGTGTGGGCCCTGGAATGTCAGGATTGGCTAGACCTTGGAGACAGCGGCGCATGGAATGGTTGAGAATAGACTGGATGCTAAATAGACTTGGAGCTGGCTTTGAACCCAGATGTGTCTCTCTGTAGAACACTTACTCACCTTGTGGCTTTAGCATTAATGGGACATCTCTGGGCCCTGGTTTGCCTAATCTGAAAAATAGGGGTAGTAACAGAATCCTTGAAGGATGGTGCTGAGATCACTTAGCCTAAAGCCTGACACGTGATGGGTGGTAAGTAATGGGAGTGGACGCTGGCAGTCCACCAGCCCCACCACGCCTGCCTGCACACCCATTTTACAGATAAGAAAACTGAGCAGTGGCGGGTCACCTGGGGCACACAGCTAGTCCAGGGGGGCCTAGAGGCAGGCATCCTAACTGTGAACATTGTTCTTTTCCAGCCCATCATGTTTCGCCTCCTTTTTCCTACTCATAGCCCCCGTCAGCACTCAGTGAAAATGTTGATCACATTATGCATGGGCTAGCTTATACTGCGGGCACAGACCTGGCTCCCCTCAGCTGTCTCAGTGGCACGCACAGCCCCGTTCCAGGACAGTGTAGTCATCTTTGTGAGACACTCTTGCTCTCTCCTTGCTGGAATTCTCAGAGTATAACGAAGCGATTTCCAAACTGAATTCACATATGCTTCCTGAAAAATTGAAATTTACCAATGAAATGTGTTAGGATCCCAGTTTAAATGCCACACCTGGCCTGGCGTGATGGCGCACACCTGTAATCCCAGAGCTTTGGAAGGCTGAGGCGGGAGGACCGCTTGAGACCAGAAGTTTGAGGCTGCAGTGAGCTCTAATGATGCCACTGCACTCCAGCCTGGGCCACAGGGCAAGATCCCGCCTCTAAAACCAAACCAAACCAAAAACCACTTTGCACTCCCTTGCTCTCTCACTAGGGTGTGTTTGTACGGCTATTTGCCACAACTTCACCCAGCTCGTTTTAAAATAAAAAACTGTAAGGGCCAGGCGTGGGGGTTCACGCGGTGGTGTGCATCTGTAATCCCAGCTACTCGGAGGCTGACGTGGGAGAATCACTGGAACCCAGGAGGCCGAGGTTGTAGTGAGCTAATACCGCGCCACTGCACTCCCATCTGAGTGACAGAGCAAGACTTCATCTCAAACAAAAAAAAAGAAAGAAAGAAGGAAAGAATAAACTTAATTTTTTAGAACAGTTTTATATTTACCAAAAAATAGTGAAGCAGGTACAGAGTCCCCCATATCCCCTGCACCCAGCTGCCCGTTATTAACATCGTTTGTTACAATGAACAAACCCACATTGATACAGTACTCAGACTTTCTTAGTGTTTAATCCTTTATGTCCTCTACTTGCTCCCCATGACATTAGTCGGCACATCTCTTTAGGCTCCTCTTGGCTGTAGCAGTTTCTCAGACTTTGTTTCTGATGACCTGGACGGTTTCGGGGAGCACTGGCTGACTGTTTTACAGGTTGCCCCCCTGTTGGGATTCGTCTGATGTTTTCCCCATGGTAAGCCTGGGGTTGAGTTTGGGAGGAAGGCTGCA